ATATATATATATATATATATATATATATTAATATAATGACACTACACCACTATATAATGATGTCCACGAATAATATATAATTGAACAGCAATATAAAGCAGCATAATGAAGCCGGGAGTATAGTACCGGTAATATTATATAGTATTATGTATATTGTAAGAAACATTGTGGAATTGTCCATAACAAACCCCCACACATATTTAAAATGTAAATAAGAAATACAATTATCTTTCAGCGACACCACGTCGTCGCTATTGTATTATACGTAATAGTTGTATTTTTAAGAAACTTGATATAACCCCGGTATGTCTTCTTTCACCCATCCACTTCATGTCTACGTCATTTAAACACATTGTTGTTATTGTCTTCCAGTGCCTAGCTGTCCTGATACACGGGATAATGAATGTGGTAAGAAATATAGTATATATACTTTCAAGATTGAGTCTGATTAGCTACCCAACTCTTACCCTTAACGATCATACCAATCTGAAAGTAGCTTATTTGTTGGCAGGTTTTTACGACGTGTCAAATTCTGCCTTGTATATATTGGCTTGAACGCAACTTCGTTAGGTACGTCATCCATGACGCCATCCGTAATGTTTGGCTTTTGTTCTGTATTCCGTAATAGTGGATTTAATATTGGATGTACAACTCAAATCATGGATGTGTTTTTTTCAAATTATTTGTTTTACAGAGTGTAGTATTAAATGCGACCATTGCGGGATACGACATGAGAATAACTGTAGTTGTACATGTGCTACTGGCTGGATGGGTCACTACTGTACTGGTAAGGAAACAATAACCTACACACGTTACTGATCCAAGAGGGCGCTCTTTAACTTGCGTCAATCTCTGAAACGCTTACACAGCTTTCGTTTTGTAACCACGCTTAACTTAAACAATGCAGTAACTTCGATTCTTAGGAATTGTATTTGTTTTGTATCATTTGACAGATCAGTGTGGTAACATAGATGACAGATGTGCTAATGGCTGGTATCCTAACTGGTGTGACGATCCCAAACACAAATTCGTTTCCAACAAATGTCAAATGATGTGTGGAATTTGTGGTAAGTTAAACCGAATCCTCATATTCGCATGTAGAGAAGAGAAATGTTTGATTAATTCTACAGAAATCTGCTGCCTCAACAACTTAGAACATATGTTGCTTTCACTCGATGTGCACGTTTTCATATTATTCTTTCGCATCACAGAACCATTGCCAGAAGGCACAACGGAGCCAGTATGTTGTGATGGTAAACAGTGTGGAAATAATGGCGACTTAAACGCAGCTACGTGTACTTGTGAATGTACAAATGACTACTCTGGAGACTTGTGTGGTAAGAAATGTTACACTGTTTTGATTATTAAACTGGTGAATAATAGGTTGGTCAATATATCAATGTTAATTCGTTGACATACGTTTATAATCACTGTGAACACTCCTAGAAAGTGTGTTGATTTTTCCAATCAGATTAAAATCCTATGTGGACCGAGGTATAGACAATGCAGAAACTAGACGTACCCCCCCTAGAAACTTTCCCGTCCCATTTGACAGACCCTACTGGTCTTTCGCGCCCCATTTTGTAGACCCTGCCCTTAGCTGATATATATAAACCACAATCGTACTCTTTTCTGCACATTTTCTGTGTTTTTTCAAGTATTTAATAGTCTCATTGTACCACCCGCACAAACAATGGGGAAACTGGACATATCTCCCCATGGGCTTTTGCCGTCCCATTTGGCAGACCCCACCAGCTTTTCCTTCCCCGTTTGGCAGACCCTACCCTCAGCTCAGATATATATATATATATATACACATACGTATTCTTTCTACACATTATTTTTAATAGTCTTATTGTATCATCCATATATACAGTGAGAAAACAGGACATATCCTCCTCTAGGACCTTTCTCGCCCCATTAGGCAGACCCTGCCCTCAGCTCAGCTCAGTATATCCATGATTAGATTTATAACACATAATGCTGCACTGCACCGTCCAAACAATGGAGGAAGGTTATTGACACACAGTTTTTATTTGAATACATGATTATTAGCTTGTAAAGGTGAATTCATAGATATATTACGAACAGAATATAAAGCCTAGCTTAAAATTAGCTAGAAAATTAAAAGGATGTGTCTGCATGATGCAAGTTCTTGTAGATGTATAATTAAAGAATTACTAGCATTTCAAATACCCTGACTATGAGCCAGTACAGTCACCAACTTAACTTTTACCGATGCCTCAGTAAAACTTTTGGGGGTAAAAGTTGTGCATCAATCAGTCACCATCACCAATAACCGAAGTACAATTGACCATAACGAGCAGTTACTGGTACGGTTTCCCAGCTTCGGCCTTATGATCAGCCTGAAGTCCATCAATGACAATCGAACAGTGGTTTAAAACTTGAGGCAAGCCAATGTGAAGAAGACCATGATAAAGGTCAATGGAAATGCAGTCATGTCCATCGACGACAGTGACATCTACCACTGGTACACCAACCTCTGAAAAACTTCCCAAGAACACCCAGTACCAAAGCATTGGCACCAGTACTACCAGAAATACAACCAAACTGTGTATTGGTGCAGGCAACAATGCTATTGTCAAAGATGCTACCATCTTGAATGTCAATAGCAACAACTTATACATCACGAAGGACATTGAACTTCTTGAGTTCTACATGTAGGAAATGCCTCTGAGGGTGTTGCGATCCAGGTCATAAAAATGCAGAGGTTGCTAGCGCTTTAAACATCTATCTCTATGTGTTGATGGATGTCAAGCACAACATTGAGGATGGCAGATATGCTCTCTTCCGTACTACAGGTGGCTGATCGGTGCAGTGAACCAGCTACTGGTAAAACATGGTGTTTCTGTCAGGGGCGGTTATGTGGACAATTCATTGGAACCAGGAGATTGTGGAGCACTTCAACCACTCTCTGGCTGAGCAGTTGTTTTGGCACCAATATGCCCAGGACGTGTCTGAATGGGTGGCTCGACTGCCTGCTGTTGTTATGGCCCTTAATGGAAAAGTGACCAGCCCCACTGGCCTAATGCTATTATCAAGACAAATATGTAACACAAACCCCTTCTACTGTTTGTGGCCATCCCCTTGGTTTGGCAGAGAAAAAGGGTGTTGGGGTTTAGTAGTCTAGCAAATTAGAGGGAGGCCGCTGGGGTCAACTGATCTGGTTTGGTCTTTAGTTGTACGACTTGGATGCTCTGTCACCAAGGCTGACAAGCTCGAACTATATTATTTGCTGGATGGACCTATTTATGGATTTTTTAGGGAGGAGCTTCTTGTGGTGATGCAGACACAAAACTGTCATCAGAAAGGGTTAGTTGGACCCTTTGTTAATGTTCCAAACAGCTAATCTGTGACAGTATTCATGACGCCATAGTTTCAACACCATGGCGGAAGACCCTTTTCCCAAAAAGGGCCTTTTTATACTGCTCAAGATGGATGTGCTTTTTCACAACACTTTTTTTCACACCCTTTTCACACCCTTGGATGTTTCCTTCTCCAGCCACAAAGTATATACTGGGTTGCAGGCCGACATATTCAGCTATGGAGTGCTAGAACACTCATACTTCATCTTGCCCAACACTTTTTTGTATGTTTTTCTGTACAGAAAATGCTCTTCCAGGTGGTTCATGTGTCATAGAGGTCGTGGGACCTGCCCATGTATACATCCTTTGTTTGAATCTCAAGGAGGAGAGAGTTGGTGCTCGTATAAATGAGCTGACATTGCTTCCCGTACAAATCTTTCACTTGGTTGTAATATAAGTCATTAAATACATCTAGAGAGGCCATGGATGATCATACCCACATAGACAGGCCAGTTAAGGTAGCGGGACTATTATTTGCATACTTGTTTTCATCTTCTAATTGTGACTAAATTACTACAAATAGACCCGGGAAAGTATATATTTTTAGAATCGCCAGACTTCAAACTTTTCACAAGTGTATTTTGCATGCCCGTATCTGCATTCTACGACGCGTTACTCAATCAAAGGTGAAAAATGACTTTTTCTGTAAAAAAAATAATTACGCATTTATGCTGGCGATAAGAAGTATTTTTTTCATTTTTCCTAGTTGTTCAATAGTCTGGTAAATTGAATGTGTCTGGTCAGTTTTATTTAGGCAACGCGTTTTAAAAAA